CCCCAAAACCCCAAAACCCCAAAACCCCATGGAAAATGAGTATAATTGAATTTTTTTAAGGCAGTTTGAGTGAAGTATGGAGAGTTTTGATTTGTAGAAGATGAGAAGGAGAGGGAAGGATTTAAACTGTGATTTAGGACAAGTGAGGGGTGTGAAGAAGGTGAGGAAGGACAATAAATTTCAGGTAGGGAATTGCGGTTTTAAGGGACTTAACTGGATTCATTCTCTGATGGACTTAAAGTGTAATTAGAACATAAAATCGAGATTCTTGGCCTTTTTGAAGAAGAAATAAGGGATCGGGCTTGAAAAAGGTTACACCTGTGAAGAATATATGGTAAGATAAGTTCATAATACGTTTTAAATAGTATCCTTATTTTATCAACTTGATTAATCATTATTATAGCAAAGCTACCTCTTTAGAAAGAACCAAAAAATTGGAGAATGCTCATATTCCACAGAAATCTCCTTTCTGCTTAAAGTTGTGGCAGAGTTTTTGACAAGACATCAAACCAAAGAAACCAAATATGTTCTCAAAAGCCGTTGTAGATATGCTGCGTGGCTCTCAAGAGCTTGGAACTAAGTTTAATCCCTATTCGTATCATTGTAATTTAAAATTTTAGGAATGATTTTGATAAATGTGAAGAATACCTCAACTCTCCAAGACATCCAAAGCCAATTCTCAACCGAAGGAAACTCACTCATATACAAGTATGATAATCTTATAACTAACTATAAGGAACGGGGCACCTATACTAGTCTGGTATCAAAAAGAGAGCGACATTTTAACAGTAGACTTCGCTTTGATTCAGATAAAAATAATAACAAAGCTATGATGGAGCGTCCTGTTTTCAACAAAAGGTACTTTGTAGATTTCAAGAAGAAGATCACACCATATATTCCTCAAAACTTACTGATCTCTCTAACCTTCTATTAGAGTTGGGAGCCTTAAGCAGTTGCAGTGTAGTTATGTTACCCCAGAAGTCGACGTCAAAACTTCAAATCTAAACCAGACATTTTACGCTCCGCTTTGACTAAAGTCATTGGCCAAGAGCAAGAAGTCTTCATGCTCTAATTCCAAACTTGTAAGCTGCTTTACTAGCTATATAGCTATCATTGTCTACATCTCCAACACTGTCGATTTCGAAATCGTAATTTTGTAGTCTCAGTTTTAGCCGGTTGATCAAGAAAGACAGGTTTTCTATATATAAGATTAGAGCAAAGAATCGTCATAATAAGAACAACTTTTTCTTTAAGACTTAAATAGTTCATTACCTGATCTAAGAGAGGGGTTTTGGGGTTTTGGGGTTTTGGGG